GCTTTCATTGATCATTACCCAAAGCCAATGTTGGGGGTTGTTTCTACAGAGTATTGGTCTCAGCCAAGAAGAATTCCACTGTTGTCACTAACAGGCATGTCATGGAAGTTTCTGGAGGGGTGGTCTGGGGAGACACCCCTCCAGAAGATATAAAATATATTCTTTATATCTTTAGGCTGTCACCCTCTTCTCTTGCTCTTTGAAATGTTCATTTCATATATAATTATTTAAATGTGTTTACATACCTGCCTTGTTTTTCTAGCATAAGAATGGTTATGCCACTGTGTCTGGCTGGGTATGCCTGCAGTACTATTGTGAGTCGTTCCCTTATCAATATAATTTGACCTGTTATGTCTTCTGACTGATTTTGTCTTGACTTCTTTATCAGATGTGACAGCAGAGACATCTACTTAATTTTTCTTCAACCTTATTGGTATATTAACTTACAACCTTTGCTATTGAGTTTGCATGTGTCTTTGCCAGGGAAGTGTGTTTCTTGGAGACTAGTTCTTCTTAAACTAATTCCTCTCGCGACTCCATTTCACTTGATAACTCTCCCAGTGACTCAAGGTATATATACATAAGAAAATGGCCTACACATTAAACATGCACTGACAATAAAGCCTAAAGAAATTTGTTGTAAAACAAATTCTAGATTTCTAAATATACCTATACCCTTATCGTTTATGAAATAAAATACCAAGACTGCAGACCAGTGAATGTGTTTGTTTAATGTTTAACAAACAATTTGAACCTGGTTGGTATTTGGTCTTTCAAGTTATAGAAAACAGAATGCTGTTTTGCATAAATACATAGTACAAAATGGCAGAAATCTGCTTACATCCAGTCATTTTAGGAATGGCTGGAAATTCTGTTGGAATCCAAAACCAAAATTTATTTAGCAGTTATTAATAGAATTCATCAGCATACTTAAACAGCAATTTTTATAATCAAGCATTCCAATACAATGCACAGGTAAACCTATTTGATCATTTCATTTTATGGAATATATCAGGATGCTAGAAGAACTTTTTATTCGCTATAAGTAGACGGCTATTTCTATAAGCTTTGTAAGTCCAATAAAAACACCGCCACTCATAGCATACAGTCATCTCATCCTAGCAAAAGCTTTCACACAGCATCTGTTGTTTTTTATTTTAATGGCATGTGTGCATGGATAATTTAAAGTGCTCATGCTGTGTGGTCAGAATCAAAGTTGTGATCAAATTCTACAGTGTGACAGGGCAAGTCCTGCCAGAGAGGCCTCCAATTCGCTATGTTTGATGACTCTTTATAGACAAAAAGAGAGACCATTTACTAAGAAAGAATGCTGTAGAGTAGAGAGCTGGAGAAAGGATACTCTCTGAAAGCCTGTGTGCTTGATTTCGGGATGTGTGTGTGTGTACTTGCGTGCACACATTTGTCGATACCTACATTGAGCTGTATTGTGACATATAAGGGCAGAGAGTGAGCCACAGGCAAAAACAATTAGAAGGTGTTTTTATCCAATCAGTTGGGCTGTGTATTTTAATTCAGTAGCTAAGATCACTTACATTCTGAGTTATTACTGAAAGAAAGTAACAGATTCTTGAGATTTCATTGTTTTCTCCCCTTTGGTTGATTCAAATATCTTGTTTTTCTTCTCCATTCTTGTAATATAAATAGTTTCCCAATTTGCTGATTTGGTCGTGATTTATTTTTTTATTATTTCTAAAAAAATGTATTTCTTCCTTTGCCCCCAAATTAAGACTTTTTTCCTCCTCTAAATTCTTTTAAACTTGTTCTGCACTGCCAAGTTGATTACAAATTGCTTCAGTTTGTGCTTTTCTTGAGATGCCTTTATTTCTTCATCGGTTTCAGCTGATAGTGTAGTTGGAGAAAATATTTCTTCATTTTCTTTCAGAAGCAGGACTTTATTCTTCCAAACTTTGCTGGTACTCAGGGCTTATGCCAAGAGGTCTGATGCTGGACTGATGGTTAGTCCTCATAAATTCAGGGGATTTCTCTTGCAATTCTTAATACTCGTTCTTTGTCCTGTAGTCTTTCAATTTTAACTATGACATGTTGATGAGGGACACCCCTCTGTATGCTGTGAATAGGTTTTATCACCATTGGTTAATAAAGAAGTTGCTTTGGCCTATGGAAGGGCAGAATATAGTTAGGCAGGAAAGCCAAATTGAATACAGGGAGAAAGAACAAGGAATCAAGGGAAAAGCCAGCAGCTTCTGGAAAAGCAATATGTGAGGTAACAGGCCACAAGACTTGCGGTAAAAATATAGAATAATAAAAATGGGTTAGTTTGGCTTGCAAGAGCTAGTTAATAATAAGCCTGAGAAAATATGCCAAACAGTTTGTCATTAATATTAAGTGATTACTTGGGAACTGGAGGGTGGAAGAGAAGCCTTTAGTTACAATGTGTCATGTAGACCTTAGTACATCTATTTTTGGTTTGAAGTTTTATCTGCATAATATATATTTATGTAGTATATATAATATGTATTATATATAGTATATGTATTATATATACTTATATTTCCATATGCTCAAAATATTTCTGCATTAATTTCAGTAACTAAGTATTCTATGTCTTCACCAAAAATGTTTACATTTGTTCTCTTGATCATAGCCCAGTGCTCTTCAAAGTTGTGGCTGTGCTTGTCTGTTGAGTGGTTGTTTGGTTTAAGATGTTGGTTAAAGCTAACTGCTGTATCATGATTGAACAGAGGATGGAAAACTATATGAATAATATACAATACGTTAGATCCTAAGAGCCAGAAATAAGTCAGAGGAAATGGTGTTTTCCAGCACAATAGAGCATTGCATCCAGGAATGCCCAGCAGTTGAGACAGTGCACCCAAGACCTGTGTAAGCTCAAGTCAAACAAAATCCTAGTATGGAGGTTGTGCAGGGGAGAGATGGCAGGGAATCCCACCACTAGCTGAAGGGCTATTGGCATGTGATAGCTGTTAGGAGAGAGTCAATTTTCTTTAATGATGTGGACCCTGGTTCCATATCAACCATACTCCATACCCCACTGCCAAGAGAAGGTGGGCAACACAACTTGTATTCACTTGTATTCAGTGTGTTTAAAAATAAAACATCACTTCAATTTGGGTGGGTAGGTACATGAGGCTGAAGAGGGTGGATCTGGGGGTAGTTGGGGAAGAAGATGTGACTATGATCAAACATTGCATGGAATGCTCAAAGAATTAATAAAAATATTATTTAAAGAAAAAAACAAAATCTGTAATTGATTGAAATAAGGGACAAGATTAGTGGAAAGAAAAAACACAAATAAAAGATTGGGACATGAAAGAACTGGAGAGGAGTGTCATAAAGTAAGTAAGCAAAGAACAGGGGTAAACATAACTGTATAATAAAGAGAAACATGCAAACAAAACTGTACACACATCAGGATGATGTGAGCAAATCATACAAAGGCCTTTTATAAGATAAAATAAGGTCTATATAATGCTGTGTAGGAAATGGAGAAAAGTGGATGCATAAGAGGCAAAAATAAAATTTCAATTGATGTAAGTCCAGGGAACAGGCATGGCTTCTTGCCTGTTGCGCTGTCATCTTCAAGGTCACTAGAAGAGGGTAAGGTGATGACAGGGTGTGGGGAGCCAAAAGCAAAGATGGGGCTCTGTCAAGCTAGGAAAAGGCTGCACGGATATGGAATTGAGCTTCATTGTGTCTCAGGACCATCCTCTAATAATCCTGACACCAAGGGAATGACAATTTCACAAGTGACAAGCAAAATTTCACAAATTTTACTAACACCGTACACATTATTATGGAGCCAGTTCATTGAGAAAATGTTCAATGAAGAAATTTCAGATTTACATTTTAACTAAAGTCAAGCTAGCATACGTGTGTACACACGTTTCTCTTTAAATGTAAATAGTCTTATTATCTAAGGACTTCCATGAAGATAAAAAGTGTAAAGTATTTTCTGTTCTGTCTTTTATACTTGTTTGTTTGAAATTCCTTCCAGACAAAACTTTCTGGTTTTATTTCTGCTTTTAAAATAACTTCTAAACCTTAATCTGTGCTTGTAGAATAAGAATCACTATGATTTGCGACATGAAATCATGGTGAATTTATTCAGGTTTTGCATTTGAGATGACTACAGATATAGGTGATAGTTACTAGAGGTGCTTTAAGACATCAGGATTTTGCAAGACAATGAAAGTGGCCTTCAAGCTCCCATTCATCTCCCTGATGCAAGAGTTATCCATCCCCGTTAAACCCCTGGTGTGTGAGCTAAAACAGCGGTTCTTAACCTGTGGATCACAACCCCACTGGGAGTCACATGACCCTTTCACGGGGGTCGCATACCAGATATCCTGCATATCAGATGTTTACATTAAGAATCATAACAGTAGCAAAATTATTGTTATGAAGTAGGAAAGGAAAATTACTTTATGATTGGGCTCAGTGTAGTATGAGGAACGGTATTCAAGGTTCATAGCATTAGCAAGATGGAGAAAGACCGAGCCTGCTCTGCGTCCCTAATGTCTATCTGCAAAGTCTGTGTGGTGTGGAGAACCCTCGCCACGGGAACCTGGGGTCCAGGAGATTTGGCTCAGTTCAGACATGAGTCAAGTTCAAACACACAAAAATGACCTGTATTAGCACGAATCTCCTTGTGCCTGGGCAGCCTTCAGTTCACTGACGTGAGGGACCCCAGATTGTCCCTTTGGGATTTTTCTCCCCTGGCATTCTGCAACTGTTTTGATGGGCGATGGGGGTAGCATGGCCCTAGTTCCTGGGCTTTCAACTGAAGACACAAGGGGTAGATCAGCCACTCTCATCCCTGTCTGAACTGGAGTATTACTGCCTGAGTGGCCCACTGCAGAGGTCTCTGCATTGTTGAGAGATGCCCAGATGATGCCATGGGCTGGTGATCATGGCTGTGCGCTTTGTGTATACTCTGCTTCTCTGAGGATGGCTGTGCTCCCCGTGAGCTTTATCTCCTTGCTGTCTTGTCTTTGCAGATTATGGCACCATCAAGAAAGTACGGGCTCCCCTGAGTCAGACCTCAGGCAGCTGTTTGCTGGAAGAAATCGAGCTTTTCCCAGAGAGGAGGAGGGAGCCCATCAGGAGCCTGCAAATCCTCCACAGCCAGAGCGTCCTGTTTGTGGGACTACAGGAACATGTGGCCAAGATCCCGCTGAAGAGGTGCCACTTCCACCAAACACGCAGGTAAGGGATTCCCAGGCTAAGGGCCCCTGTGCCAAGAAGCCCGTCAAATCTCCTGCAGTCAGAAGTGTGGAGGAACTTACGTCTATGTACATCTTATGTTCCAGGATGCAGGGTCTTCATGAAAATAGGTTACTATGATACCAGTAAGCCCTGGTTGTCATTGGAGGAACCATGTGGGTAATAATTATGAGCAGTCATAGGTGTAAAAATAAATTATTTATGCCGGGCAGTGGTGGCACAGGCCTTTAATCCCAGTCCTAGGGAGTCACACACCTTTAATCCCAGCACTAGGGGGAATATAAAATGGGAGGAGAGAGAGACTCAGTCTGGTTAGTTTGCAGCCGCCCAGCCTTGATAGAGGTAATACTTCTCTAGAGGCTTGGCTACCTTACTTTTCTGGTTCTCGGGGTTTGGTTGAGGCCAATTTTTTGTCTCTGAGTTTTCACTATTCGTGCAGCACAGAGTTGACCACAGTGAACTCTGAAGTTTAGTTTGGAGACATGCAGGCCCAGGTGCTTAGGAAATGGAAGGGGCTGCGAACTCTGTGAACTTTACTAGTACTGTGTTTGCCGTGGTGGAAACTGGCTTTGTATTCTGGCTTCTGACACGGTTCTGCTCTGGAGGGCTTGTCAGCCTTGTTCATATCCATCCCCCTAAGCAAGGCGTGCCTGAAGGTCTAAGCCAAGGTGACATTTTTACTGTACTTACTTCTGAGACTTCCCGTGTGCAGGTCATTCTGTTTCTATCCAGGGAGCCTGAGGCAGGAAATTCATAGTATGGCTGTTGTAGATAATTTTCACCATGACTCCCAAAGTACTTCAGCCTCACTGCCTTGCCAAATACATGTGATTTTCTATAGAATCAAATGGAATGATATATGCATGGTGAAATCACAAGGTCTTTGCATGTTTATATGTGGAAGGAAGGGTTTTATGTTTTTCTTTTTATATATAACTATTGCAAAGTTATTCTATAAAATTAAATCCGTAAGACATTCCTTGGTATCAGAAAGAGTTACAGAATATGATCGGGGTACTCTTACTGAGAAACTGTGAGCCTTGTGAGTGGATAGTGGCACTTATTAACGACCCTCTGTTGTGTATGTCTGCTTTCGAACTTCAACCAATGGCTGTGGAACTTGTTCCTGTGTGTATTTCTGTGAGTCCAGTCTGAGGCAGATGTCACTGCTTTCTGGGTGCTGATCATTCGCTGGATAACAGCGATGGTTGGGGGACAGCCCAGAGCAACAGCCTAGCCAAGTATGGCTGGAAGGATCCCAGTTTTCCAAATTTTGCTTTATTAGATCCAAGTTCTCCTGGGGATTTATTGGGGTCAGGACAGGATACCAGGCAGGACAGCATGGCCCTGTGCCATGTGAGATGTTTCTGGCACTAAATATGGAGTGTTGTTGCAAAGCGTGACAAATCCATTGCTTTCATTAAGCTTTCCTTCAATGAGTCTAGGTCATTTCAGCTCAATGTGCTAAATCCTGGGTCAGTGTGGCAGTGTGAATGTAATTGCCCCCATAGTCTCATGGGGAGTGGCATGATTACTAGGTATGGCTTAGTTGGATTGGGTATGGTCTTGTTGGGGGAAATGTGTAACTGTGGGGGTGGGCTTTGAGGTTTCCTATGCTCAGGATACCACCCAATGTCTCAGTTGGCTTCCTGTTGCCTGCCACATTTAGGACACTCAGCTATATCTGCCTGCATGCCACCATGTTCCCTGCCATGATGATGATGGACTGAACCTCTGAAACTATAAGGAAACCACATCAATTAAGTGTTTTCTTTATAAGAGTTGCCTTGGTCATGGTGTCCCTTTACAGAAATAAAAACCCTAAGACAGTCCTATTGCTACCAAGAGAGGTACGATGCCCACTGTCTTTCATGCCATGGTCCATCAACCCCATCTTGAATCCACAGAGGCTGGAACCACCAGTTGCAGATGCTAGGCATGAACCGTTATTGCTTCCTTCTAGGAGAATAAGGCCACGGGTATATCTTCATGGACCCCCGCAGGAGAGGAGGCGCTCATGTTTCTCTCATAGCTGAATCCCCCCTCTGTTTATTTTTCACTTGCTCAGGGTGAAACAGCCAGAAATTACAGCTCCATTGTGAGCAGTCACACTGGGCTTCTGTGAGCCGCAGTCGGTAGGCTTGTGCTTGGCTCTTAGTATTCCATCTGAGAAGGGAACTCTGAGGACCGTGAACCAAGCATCCCTCTGTGTGTCTTCTGATGCGTGTCTCTCAGTGTCCTCTTCATATGGAGGGAGGAGAAAGGCTCCTCAGTAAAAGCTCACAAGGAGACTCTATTTTGTAAACACTACATGCTTGGATTTTTAAAATGAATTATAGAAAAAATGGAATCTTTTTAGAGAAACAATTTTAATTTTCCAGAAAAAATGCTTAATGAAGCACACTGATTAAGAATAAGCTAACAATAGGGTTATGTGATAATTTCTTTGCCAAATGCCATTCTGTAGTAAAATATCAGTAATTTGGTTTTGGAAATCAATTTCAAAAAATGAAATTTTGTAATAGTTATAAAGGGGAAAGGAGCTTATGTAAATATGACACTTTTGAAGAGGAAAACTGTATCACAGAATTTTTATATTCTTCCTTTTGTTGGTTACCTGTTTTCCAAAGCCAATTCATACAGTTTTGCAGCAGTGTTTGCGTTTCTGTCACATTTTCCTTGACTGTTGAGCCAACTCTAGTAGAGTACCATTCCATTCTCGGTGTTCAGACGAGGGTGCGGAAGTCTAGATGTCAATGCCCTTCTTAAAGCCACACTGAGATCAGGGCAGCCTGTATGCCCCCGGTGCAGGCTATGTTGTCTATTTTCTCTTGGTGCAGAGAAGTCACCACAGTTAGGGTTCTCACGTGAGGCTGCTGGAATCCAGTCAGACTGTACAGGACAAGGAGCGTGGAACTTGTTAGCCATGATGTCATCCTATCAGCTTCCTCAGTGTTGTGCTTGCCTTGTGCCAGACAGACCCAGTGTGGACCTTCCCAGAGCACTCCATGCTGAGTATCTGCTTTCTCTTGGGGTGATCCTGCATCCTTGGGGAGGCTGCAGGCACTGCTGATAGTTTGTCTTCATTGTAGCTCAAAAAACAGCATGGTAGCATGGGCATTTCTTTAGAAAAAAAAAATTTGGTTTAGTCAAATTTTATCACAAATGTGAGTTAAAAATTTTGTTTTATTATTAGCTTCTTTAGATGCTGCCTCTTAATAAATAGCATAGACAACCATGCAGATGATGGAATCAAACCCAGAACCTTGGAGTTGGTGTCATCTCTTTAAATATTCTTTTTTAAGCAATGGAAGAGCACATTATATTTATATATTTCATGACATGAAGTGCTATTTGCTGCTTTTGTTTTGAGGCACCTGGGATCTAACATCCCTGTTGTAGGTCAGTGTTTGACAATACCTCACGAGTGCCACCTCCTGGGCACTTGATGTGCATTGTCAGTGTCACTACGTAACCTCTGAAGAAGCAAAAGTTCCTGATGGCATAGAGCAGGATGGAACTGGCAGGAAAGGCAGTAACTAAATGCCTGCCTGGGTTAGATTCCAATGCAAAATGGTAATCTGGCAGTCAGATGGTTGACAGACTCGGGCGTTGGACTGGGCGAGTTCCCATTTATCATGTCAGGAAGCAGAGGTGACCACACAACTAGGCTTTCACGGCCATATCTAGGAGTCAGGCTTTTATCCCCTCCCACCTCGGGAAGTCTTGCACTTCCTAAGATAGTTACAGCTCTTCAACTCTCAGCAAACGAAAGCTTGGAAGGCTTAGTGGGAGGACACACACTGTTAAAGCCATTTTAAGAAGTGTGCACCGACTAGATCCGCAGCTCAAGAAACTTTCTTTGCAAAAGGAAGGAAAATATTCCAAGTGCAAAACTTCTGTAGCAAGGAATGATAAGAAATTATCTTCACCCTGGTCTCACTAAGGCAATGGACCGAGCCAAACTTGACAATGAATGGCCAGGTAAAATATATGAGCTGCTTTAGGATTCAGGAAGTTGATGACCTATACAACCAGCCAAGACTAGAAAAGAACATCGGCCCTTAGATGCAGTGTCGCACAGAAAGATGCCAAAGCATAGAGGGCCATGGAGCAGTGCTACAGGACAGACAAGGTACCTGATGATCCAGGGGGCTTCCTGAGAAACTGAGCCATTAAAGAACCTGCAGCTGTTCTTTAAGTGAAGCAAGAGAGGAAACCAGCACCTCGCAGAACTCCAGAGGGGTGAGCAGAGGGATGGAGGCCAACTTCATGAGATCAGCCCTAGAATTCAGAGAAGAGTGAGACAGGTAAGGGGATGGCTCTATATCTACTCCTGGAAAGCATTGCGTCCTGGGATCTGAATGTTGAGGCATCCTGCTGAAGCTTCAGAAGGGGAGTTGCTGCTGAGCCATACGTGGTGGCTGGGATGGGCTTATGAATGGTTACTGGGGTGCTGGAGTGAAAAGTTGTGTCTAAGTCAAACTCAGCAGAGGGCATATGACCGATAAGACTTTGATTAACTGGTTCCTGAGTTAAAGCAGTATGTTTTTGACTGGATGTGTTTCTGTTGCATATATGTGAATACAAGTTATCAAACTTACTAAATAAGTGCTTAAGTTGCAAATACAAAACCCAATACTTTCTGAATCTCTCTTTCTCATGTGTGTCTCTCTCTGTGTGTGTATGTGTGTTTTATGTGATACTCCTTGAACTTTTTTTTTCTACTTGAACTTTTAAAGATAAGATTAGCCCACCAGGCCATAGAGCCTGCATTCTGTGTTTGAGGGATCCATCGGAATCAAAGCGACAGTGTGTAAGCAGCAGCGATTACTGTCTTAGAGCAGAAGCGAAGGTTCTATCTGGCTACAAAAGCTTGAACCCTAAGGCCTAGCTGGTCTCTGGCTCCAGGTTCCTTCATCTTCCAGAACTCTGTGCACCTTAAAAGAGGCTCCGTACATATTTGATGAGTTAACATATGGGCCCTGCTTCTGCCTTCTCTGCTCTCTTTCCATAGCCTAGTGGGCAGAGTGGGGACTAAAGTGTTGTGAAAACATAGGAAAAAAGTATGATGCTATAAGTAGCCAAAAGAGTAGAAACCCACAATCCTTCAGTACTTCTGTTGTGTGACATAATGGGGAGGAAAAAAAAGCCGGCGCAGGAACAGACAGAGCCCATTGATAAAATGGATAATGGATACCTCTAGAATTGTATTTGATCAAACTAGAAAGATGGAACCATTAAGAAACAGTCTTGGGCTTCACTGGACAGAGCTTGTATCTGGTCACTATTAATCCATTTACAGTGTATAGTGCCATTAAGCTAAAGGAATTAATACCTCATTAAGAAAATTAGTATGGAAATTAAGTACTGTAGGATATTCACTGTGCTAAAGGGCTAAGTTTTCAAAGGTAAACTTAATAGGTTGTCACTATTATTAATGAAATGTTCTCTGAAGACATTATGTGCCCAGTGGAAAGGTATACTGCATGCTGAGAAAATAGCAACACCCACCATGGTCCCAGTGATATGCCTTCAGTCAGCAGGTTGCATATTATTCAAGCATCCAGGAGGACTTTGAGATGAACACTCACTTTACAAAGCAAATATTCTCCTACAAATAATTTATCGATTTCCACGTCTCAGTGTCCTGAGTTGAGCTACAGTGGCATCCGTCTACTTGGCCTGTGAAGTCTGTGGATTTCCTTCATCACTTCAGTCACGGAGTATTTATAGTCCATTCCGAGCACAGAGCCGGTTCCTGAGTGGATGGTGACAGATGATGCATCCCTGACCCTGCCTGTGTAGGGCTCAGCATCTAATGAGAAATTCTGCCGTAAATAAAATCATCTGAATAGCTAATGTAGGACTGAGTCAAAGGTTCTTGGGGTTGTATTACATTTTATTCCAAAATGGATTTATCATTAAACCTGATCCCAGACCATGTTAGGAATTAATCCCCTCACCTGATGTCTAATTATTTTTAAGCTATAGCTGGATTATAACTGGTTTTCAAACTCTCTGCTTCTGGAACTGAGCATCAAGGTGTGACAGACACATTCGATGGGTTCTTCATCCAGTGGGTCACTCTGAAGCCATTCAGTGACTGTGGCGACTTCTCTCCACCTTTGGTGATTGCTACAACAAAGGCAGGGGAGAGAAATCCTATGCACCCACATGCTGCTTACACTGGTACAAAGCTCTCAGCCTTACTAAGAATACACACGCCCATCCAGCAGCTACTCCACAGGCCTCCTACTTTTGAGCTTCAGGTTTATAGCTGTGCAAACCTTTCCATGAAAAGCCCAAGCTGCAACAGCATCCTTGGTTCTAGACCTGCTCAAAAACTGTCAACATCAGTGGCAACTGAGCTCCCCCTGAGATTTTTATTGCTGTATAATTTACTGAACCCGTGATATTAAAAATAGGAACATTACCATGAAAACGTCTTACTCATAAAGACACTATGAACTAGGGTCTCATTTGGAGCCTGGATGTGACTGACAGTGAGTGAGAGCTCAGACTCTCTGGGTCTGTGGTCATAAGAGCAAGAGCAGAGACTAAGATTACATAATAGTTGAGCACATTATAATAATTTAGTCCCACAAGGTTCCTATTCTTTTCTGATGTAGTTTTACTGTTGGTTATTGTAGGTCCTTCTGAGATGGCATTGTCCACGAGAGATCTTTGTACTTATATGCAGATTCCATTGATTCAAAACCTGTGTTCCACCTGCAAGTCAAAAATCAAACAGACTAGTTAGACATGGTAGTGTTTGCTAATGTCCCAGGACCTGGAATACTGAGGTGGTGGGATATCGAATTCAAGATCAGCCTTGGCTACGTACAGACAAACTGACTTATAAAACCAATAAGTTAGGGCAGTCTGAGCCAAACTGAAGATAAACTGACAGGCCCGTAGGTTACTTTTACACAGTCGCACCCCTTGTACCAGATTCCACGCCATGCTACAAATTCTTCACCAGGTGCTTTATCTTTCTGAGCAAATAAAGAGACTCAAACATGTGGGGAAGCATGCTTTCTTCTCAGGGTTTCGTTTGCCCTTTAAAGTGCACAGCATTTACAGGGCAGCCTAGATCTTCAATGGGTCTCAAAGGCTCTCAACAAGGTCCTCAGGCTGCGGAGACGAGCCTCCGTTGCTTTAAACGCTGGTATCCTGCCCACATGAGCACCTCCCAAGTGAGTCTTTGTCAAATATCTTCCGTCCTTTTATGTTGCAAGGAAGAATAAAGATTTGTGGAAAATAATTGAGTTTGATTGTGTTCAACAATTGGATGCTGTTTCCATAACTGACAGAATCATTTTCAAATCCTGCTGCTGTAGTTTGCTTGGCTTGGTAACAATTCTACACTTGATAATTATGCTGTAATATAATAAAGATTAATGTTTTGCCTTATGATAGCAACTATTTAAATCTAAGGGGCAAGATTATTGTCAAGATGGCAGATAAAATCATACTAATAATTGGTTTTACCCAAGTTTTTCACAATGTGACTTTCTCCAATCAAGGACATCAGACTGATTGAGTTTTTTTAAATCTCTATTCTTTATTATATTCTTATTGAGTATAAGAGTGGTAAAGGAACAAAAATTTTAAAAGAAATGCCACTTTCACTATGGCTATATCCATCAGAAACTCATGTTTTTCATATGGCCTCTTTAAACGATTCAAATTCCAAAAATAATAAGTCATAGTGATTGGTTCAGTGTAGACTCAGAGGAAATTATAAGTATGTGGGCTTTCTACTGAATGGGCGTTTGTGTTTGGATAGCAGTTGTGATATTTAAAGAGTGATAGAATGTTAGAAATGACCAGAACCCACAGCATTGTAGGATGACAGCTGTTATTACAAGCAGAGTTTTGGAGCCCCAAACCTTCACTCAGTGCAGAAGCCCTGTTTCAGGTCTCCCGGTGGCTTTACAGGCAAGGATGCCCTGATCAGAAGAGGGAGTCCACCAAATCTCTCCCCTTTGAGAGATGGATTTCACCTAGTACTCATGTTAATATAATAATAGTAGTAGTAATAATAGTAATAATAAATAAAACATAGAAAAGAACTTGAGCCCTTAGAATGGTTCTGCAAATGTAGCTAGGCTGTAGTCACCCATAATGGCGAAAGTGGGGTCACAGGCAGCGCAAATCCCAAGGTGAGAAGCATACTTAGTGTGTGGTTCTATCAGTGAAGAATGATTCCCTGGCCTCTCTGGGGAGCTACACGCAGAAATTTGTGACTTTGAGCTAGTTCAACACCAGGTCACTCCCAGCTCCAGGCAGCCTATCTGGCCAGGTAATATCAAAGCAGGAAGCAGACACCTTTCAGTCCTGCCCCGAGACCCCAGCTCACCTCAGCCTCCTTCATAGGTTACACTTGAAAGATCTCCATATTCCCAGAGACATCCTGTGGGTGTTTTCCTACAGCTAATGATCTGCTCAGTCAGTATGTTTCCCTGTGTGCTTTCAGTGCCTGCATTGGTGCCCAGGACCCGTACTGTGGCTGGGATGTGGTGATGAAGAAGTGCACGAGCCTGGAGGAGTGTCTGAGCATGACACAGTGGGAGCAGAGCATCTCCACCTGTCCGGTATGTGCCCGCCCTGCGCAGCCTCTCAAAGCGTTGTCGGCGGGAGGCAGACCCATACGGCTAGCCTTTCCAAGTGGATCGGTCCACTGTTGCAAACCCAAAGCCAAGATGTGTTTTCTAAACCTGTTCTGTTCCTGGCTTGCAGGAGGACCACACAGGGTGCTCTCACCCTCTTTACACTGATTTGAAACACATACGATTCAACAGCACTGTTGAGCATAAGACCCTGGTTTTTACAATTTTTATTTATTTCTTTTTGTGCAGAATCTGGTGTGGACTCTTGTCCCTGTCACGCTAATAAAAATGTGAACTTCCACACACATTCATTTCCCCCGGGGCTGTAATTCTCCGAGCTGACATAAGTAAAGGTTTGAAGAATAAGTTAAAGGCTGTTACTGTGGCCCCCCGTGGAGCAGATTCACAGACCTTGGTCAGGGTCACTGGAAGGCCTGGAAGAGGCAGCCATGTGCATTTCCACATGGGACCCTGAGGAATGAAGAGAAACTGGCCTGCGTTTACAGCCAGACCCTGAATCCAAGAAAAGCAAATCTCACTGTTTGCTCCGTCTGTCTGCTTGGATCCTCGCTCTTGGAGAAGCCAGTTTTCCTTTATTTCTGTCTTCTGCCTTGTATTCTAGCATGTGAACATAAACTACCAACATTAATGTACTCCCAGTACTGAGGCAGCTGTCACTTGGTGCCACACAGCTGTGAATTTCTGCCTGCTGTTTCCAAGCACCTCTGCAAGGCAGGGCAGGGACTTTACTTTCCCTGAATATATTAGACAGGCCTCAGTATTCTGAGCTGCCAATGCGACTCCCAGGAGCAGCCCTTTCACTATCTAAGCTGTGTGCTAATGAAGCCTGTCCTCCAGACTGTAAGGAAATGGAGCAGAGTGAACCAAATGTTCCTATGGGTGGTGAGTCCTTCACACAAAGGATCCTGTGTAGGCATCATCACTTCTAGCCATTCAGTGCTCCCTGTGGGGGTTAGCCTAGACCAGCGGTTCTCAACCTCTGGGTCAAGACTCCTTCAGGGATCAACAGACGGGGTCACATATAAGGTATTCTGCATATCAGATATTTATATTACAATTCATAATACCAATATTAAAGTTATGAAGTAGCAACAAAAATAATCTTATGGTTCTGGGTCACTACCATATAAAAAACATCACTAAAGGGTTACAGCCTTAGAAAGGTTCAGAACCACTGGCTTAGACCCTTTGGCTTTGTACTGCTAGGTCTTTTATTTTAAAAAAGGAATTTCTCTTCCTTATCTCTTGAAAATGTTTTGAAAATATCATGAACTGAGGAAATCCCCTTCTCAGCAATGAACATGTTAAGAGCCCAAGGACAGTCAACTGAAATTTCTTGTAGAAGGTGAAAACGCAATAAACAGCATTCCAAATGTCAGTCTGTGCAGACATGTGCTCGTAGACAGTCATGCATCTTCATGGGGCTTTTGTCCTTGCGTTTGATGGCTAAAAAGGGTGTAAGAAGCAGATGGCACCACTGCAGTTTCTCTTGAATGGTAAGAACATTTTTCCAGCAGCTATGGTTACACGTGTGAGCATCTGAGCAGAGATGGCTATGCAGAGGGACACTCACCCCCATGTCTTTACTGTTACAGATGATTGTCTTGGATATTCTACAGAGCGAGTGTGAGATGAAGAGATCCGAGGTTTGAGACATGACCAAATGTTGTCACCCATGTTGTCTCATGCTAACGAGAAGGCAGATTCAGTTAAATTCTCAAGACAGTGTGGGCACGTTGTAGTGCTAAAATCACGGCTCTGAGATGGGACCTCATACACAGTATCAGTTACACAGAACAAGATCTTTTTCTCTAGACAGGGCTATGTCTATTATATAGAACCTCATCCTCTTACCCAGTGGATTTGTCTACATCAAGATATACTTTTGGCAAGTTAAGAATATTAAAAGAAAAAACAGCAATAGGTTTTAAATTTTTACTTTAGATGTCACTTCTATCTTATTTGCTCTTTCACTTAAATGAAAGATTTCACTCATTAGATGTATCTGTGATATGCACATGTCATGAGTTTGATATGATATTGATTTTAAAGCGTGTGTTTTTTTATATGTTGCTGTCTTTGTAATATAGTCTCCGCAGTTGAATTTTCAATACTGAAGCCTAAACCCAAAAGTTCACACTTGGTAGGCCAGTACCGTGTCATCAGGGTGTGTCTGAACTTGTAGGTGTAGTATTGAAGGGGTTCTAAGTACCAGCTTGTTTTTGACATAATAAACACCAACAGGGTTTTTTACAGCCAGTTAATATTTCCCATTCCTTCTGAAGGATGCTTCCCTACATCTTTACGCAAAGAAAGTCCAACTCAATGTATAAGTTGAGAACTTTGGAAAGAAAACAAACGTTTCATAGTCTATGTACAAGTGTATGTTGGCAGAAAGGAAGATGATCTTATTACATTGAGTTCAGTGAATTGAAGACATGTTGACAAGAAGTGACACCCCAGACATACTTATGTGAACCCACAAAGGAAATAAATCTCCAAACCCCTAGATTAGAGACTGGCTGAGCAGTTAAAGAATGTATACTGCTCTTGCAGAGGACCGAAATTTGGTTTCCAACACCCACATGAGGAGGCTCACAACTTCCTTCCCATCACCTCCTGGCCCATAGGGCACCTGCACCTCCCCACACACGTATACAAAGCACTCACGCTGAAACAGATGGCTCTTGAACGAACACTCTGCAGTGGCCCAGCACGGATGCTCCAGTTAAACCTCGCGTGCCGTGTGAGTCACCGTTGTTTCTCTGGTTCTGGCAGAACACCGGACACTGCCTCGCTTATAAAGCACGAACATTTATTACCCACAGTTCTGGAAGCTGAACGGAACAAGACCAAGGCAACAACATTTGCTCTCTTGAGAATGTCTTGCTGCGACTCCACACGGGGGAAAACAGAAGACCCATATTGCCGGGGCCACACTGGCAATCCTCGAGAAAAACATGTCACACGTCCTCTAAAGAGGAACCTTCGTGGTCTGATCAGCTCTCAACAGCCCATTTCTGAATGCTATCACCATGGCAACGCTTGGAGTTTTGGAAGAGGCACCGTGAACCCCAGCAGTAGTTCTCTGGGGCTTTCGTTTTAAAAAGCACACCTATTTTCCACCAAAGAGGACCAGTTTTAAAATGACTACACATTTTTTCTCTCGAAAGAAGACTGTAAGGTAGTTTACTGGCATTCTATAGAATATCCTATTTCTTTAAAAATTAATTAAAAGTATTTCTGCCCAGTTTAAAGAGTTGTGCTTAGTAATACACTTAAACTAGCATGCACAGACCAAGGTCAATTACATGTCCTTGTCCGAGTCTCAGAGGTGTGAAAAAAAGGACCTGTGGTCTTAGGGATCTGCCTGGGCTTCGCTTATGCATTCATACCATTTATGTCCTTTGGGCAAAATGCTCAGCATCACGCGATGCAATCCGATGCATCCTTGTTTCAAAATATGTCCTGCGAGAACCAGCAGCATGGGCCAGATGAGCATTTCAGAGTCTCCTGACGGAGGTTCTACTCGGGACACTGCACAACCAGGAGCTTAGTTCCAAAGGTACTCAGGCAGTGGCTGGAACCACAGCCTACATTTAGATGGCAACAGCTGAACTTCTGCTGTGCTTCCCTGGGGGTCTATAACCATTAGGAAAGAAGCCAGGCTTTGCATTGCGAGTTTCTGGCAGGCTCCAGTCTAGAGGAATATGACTTCCCAGTTCTCAGCCTCTTCGCAAATGATGGAATGATAAAGAGAAGAATGGCCCAACCCCACCCTTTATATTCAGAGAGCAGATGAAACATTGTTGCTGCATGTTGCCATAAAATGCATAGGAGGGAGAGAGAGAAGAGAAGAAAATAGACTATGTCTGTCCCTGGCTGAGGAAGGAGAGAGTTTGTTCTTATAAATCATATTTTTACTTAGAGCTGAGCTTAGCCAAGCTCCTGATCCCAAACAAGGCTTGCATGCACTTCTGGGTGCCTTTTCTAAGGTGTGACCCACAGGACAGGACCCATATGCTCGTCCCCATCTTTCATTGTTGAGCTCTCTTGTGGTATCCTTGAGAATGCCCCTTAGGTATCATTCCGCCTCTATGAACTGTGGGATTGACTCTGCAAGTGTTGTGTCCTACTTGGCTTGTGGGCTGTTTAATGTCCACTGTGCTCTCCAGAGATGGGCATTACTGCTTCATTTTATTGATGCACTAACTGGGAATGACAGGCACTAAATAGAGATTGCCCCTATGCACTAGTCCGCTGCATGCCACACGGGACTGCAGCCCAGTGCTCTGCTAAGGCACAGTCTTTCCTTACAATTCATCTGTAGAGATAGGCTTAGGGGGGGATATTAAATTGATGTCATAACACGAGTCAGCTTCCTGAGGAGCTTATTCAATATCCTGCTTCACTGGAAGTAAATATAAATGATTACAAAAATAAGGCAAGATCTAGTAATTCTGAAGAAAAATAAAATGTCCAGATAAACATTTGAGACCAGGTTAGCCAGTGAATAACAATAGTTGGGGGGTTTGGAGAGGTGGCTCGGTGGTTAAAGAACCAGGAGCTTAGTTTCTTCCACTAACTCTCCATGCGAAGGCCTGCTCTTCCTGTGTGCAGATTTCAACATGTCCCTCTCTCCTCATGTTGTGTTGTGTTGTTCTGGATTCAGCCATGTGTGTCATGGCAGGTGGAAGGAGCCTTGGATTTATCTCCCTTGCCCTTCTTCAGTTCAGGACATTCCTGCCAGGAGTTCATAATTCCATGACTAAGGCTGTGCATGGCAACACCTGTCTAGCTCTGACTGTCACCTGGCTTCAGCAGTACTACCCACCTTGTCACCCACAAGCGTAGGATAGCTGAAGCTCCTACCTTGTCACCCACAAGCTTAGGATAGTTGAAGCTCTTGCACAGCTGGTCCCTGGATTCTGCAGCATCTCTTGATATGTTCCTAAAGCTCTCTGGTCTCTTCACCTCTCTGTACAATCCTACAGGTTATCATTCTGCTCCCTGGCAAGGTCATGACAGTCACAGGTGTGTATTCTTCAGTGTGACACCCCACCTACCATGTAGCTCCATTACTTCCTGGGCTTGTTTGCTCATTTGTTTGTAGGCTTGCTTTTCCCTGAGATAGAAGTAGTGCTCTAGGGGCTTCTGGTTCCTTCTCCCACAACAGGATGAGTTTGGAGTCTAATAAACAGAAGAATGAAAAGAGAAAATGCATGGTTTCCTCATCATTGGATCCTTATCAAACTAAGACTTATCTGTCTTCATATTAAAATGAAGAGACTGGGACTTTAGTCCCTTCTGTTTTCTTTTGGAAGGAAGGCCTTGGACAAGGAAACTAACCTTTGGCCCCATGAGTCTCTCTTTTCAAAAGATATCTTACCATATGACTCAGAAAGTTGCTCACTCTTCACTGTTCAAACACTGATGTCCCAAACCTGCTCAAACCCATTGCCACATGCCAGATGAGGCTAGAGCCCAGCACCCTGTGTTCAGTGACCTGAAGAAACTTCCACCACTGTACACTGAGCTCTTTCTCAGTGCTGCTACCTTGAACTCCTTCTTAGACCTCCAATGACAATAAAGCACCTGCCAATGACTCCCTGACAGGGAGGAGCCCAACCATGTGATCCTGCAACACGCTTATTCCTGTCATCACTCAAGCTATCTGTGGAATCAAGGGTCCTGGGCAGCTGCTTTCCTGGTCCTTTTCCACTCTGAACAACTCCACATAAGTACCCTACAAGTTTGTTTTTCATCCTCGGCAGTACAGCCCTACAATACCCTGAGTAGCTATCACATAGGGTCGTAAACACGTACCAAGCCCTTCCTGACCAGAATATAAACTCCAAGTGATACTCCAGCATAGCCCTGGCAAGAATAAGCCTGAGAACTATAACTATCTCATTACTCAGGGCCACTAAGATGTGCATGGCATCAAATATTGTCACATTGAGGTAATGTTTGTGTAAGCCGAGACTATTCATTCATTTTCCAGCTGCCCAGATCTGAATAATAACACAGAAACTATATTAATTACAACACTATTTGGCCAATAGCTTAGGCATATTTTTTAGCTAAGTCTTACATCTTAAATTAACCCCTAATTCTTATCTGTGTTAGTCATGTGGCTTGGTACCTTTTATCAGTGAGGCATTCTCATCTTGCTTCCTCTGCATCTGAATGATGACTGCAGATTGAGCATTTCCTCTTCCCAAAATTCTACCCTGGTCACCCCGCCTATACTTCCTGCCTGGATACTAGCCAACCAGCATTTTATTAAACCAATACAAGTGACAAATCTTTACAGGGTACAAGAACACTGTTTCACAGTATATTTGGACCAAACCAGGATAAATTCTTCATGGACTTCTGTTGTCTTTAAGGTGTATAAAACTATACATCAGAGGTGTACATCTGTGGGGTTTTCTTTTTCCTTAAGTTTCCCATTTTGATGGGTCATTCTGCCAAAATCTCATTCTTTCTCCTTTTCCTTGTCTTCTGTTCTACTTTATCTTTCTCATAATCTCTAGCAGTGAGCTATGCTACATGACTTTAAAATATTCCCACGTATGCTGCCAATTTTAATTTTTAAAAACATTCTGAAAGAGTCGTCTTGCCTCTTGAGATCTCTTTGTTTTCATGCTAGTTCATTTTTCACAGCTTCACCCTTTCTGACACCATTACTTATATTTGCCTTCCAGACCAGAAACCTCACTGTGGATGGGAGCTTTGGCCCGTGGTCTCCATGGACACCCTGTACACACACAGATGGCACTGCTGTGGGATCCTGCCTCTGCCGGTTGCGCTCCTGTGACAGCCCAGCTCCACGGTGTGGTGGCTGGCAGTGTGAGGGCCCTAGGATGGAGATCACCAACTGTTCCAGGTATGTGCCTCTGATCACTCGAATGGATAGTCACATGTCACCTAGATGGTTGAGAGACCTGGGCAATCACTCTTAATACAAGCTGTCTCTGTAGTTGATGAAGCAACTAGCAAAAAGAGAGGGACACCCATCACTTAACTATTATAGCATTTGTGGAAGAACACTGTCACTTGAGTAGTAAATTAAAATTGCTTTTAAGTCATAGTTAGATAGTAAAACATTAGTAATTTACTCTATGTATTTGGCTTCTTTGAGGGAAACGCCCATTGCATAATATCTCTCTGAAATATGTGACAAGCAATCCCTATTGCTGGAGTCTGATACGTTAGCTATAAGGAGTCTCTGCTCCATGCAGTGGTAGAGCAGAACTCAGTATTCCCCGCCTCTGCTGACTTCAGACCCTTGGTAATCTAGACAATCCAGATGTGATCCACCGAGGTCATTTGAGTTGTCTCGTGCTCTTTCCTAACTGTACTCGCTTGTCCTGTCTGCTTGCCCATACCCTGTAGCATCAGAAGTACTTCTTGAGTTCCTTGTCAAGTCCCTTTCTCCATTTCTTAAAATCTTACCTGCTTTTCAGGAGTTTAAAATGCAGAAACAGTGAGGGAAAAAGGTAGACTTGGGTAATCGAACTGTGTGAAGAGCAGGAAGACATGACTAACGTGTCCGAGAAGGGTAGTCACAGTAGTGTATCTGATAAAAATAGGCAGGCCTTGCTCTTGTCAGCAGTTTTTATATTATTCCCTAATGTTTAGAGAAGCCAAGGAGGGCTCCAATGATAAGGCTGTATAATAAAACAGAGAACACAGCTGTGTCAACCTTGTGTCTTGATCCATATAACATCTCTTCAAGGAGGTGGTTTCCATGAGTGCCTGGCAGGAACCTGACACAGGCTACTAGACTTACTTTGAAGATGACAGTAAGGCAATTTCCTGCTGTTTCCTTGCTAAAAGATTATGGAGTTCGGGGCTATCATTGTTTGTCCTCCAAGCTGTAGTTCTTGTTGGAAACTCACCCTCTCAACAAGCTTGCAGCATAGCTTGTTTCTGGTTAACATCACAAGTCAGCCTGCTTCAGTGGGGCTGTGGAAGTGTAAGCACATGGCCATGTACTGACTCCATTGTCAAGGTCTCCCATCCTGTGTGCCATTACTTCGTGGGGCTCTGCGGTTACCATCCACTGCATCTCAGCTGCTCCTGGAAGTATGCAAAGCTAAGCTCATATACTAAAGAGCTACTGAGAAACTTGCCTCACTCAATGTCTTGATTTCTTATAGTCCTGCCAACTTTAGACGCTTTTATTTCTTTACTTTTGCACACACAACATGTTCTTCCTGTTATAAATTGAATATATCATAAAGTACCACATAATTTTTTTAAAACATAGGAAACTAAAAATTTTAAAGTGATATAGAATCAGCGTGCTTCTGTGTTATCTAACCATTTTCTTCCCTCAGATGAAAACCTTTAAAAGCAGAAAGAGCTAGTTTAGGTTGAAGTTGTTGTAAAGTTCCAATAATCTAGCAAATTGCTTTCACAGTGTGTAGAGCTCTGGCTTGTTATTTTTATGAGGAACATATGAGGGTTTGTATCATTTTAACCAAATTATCAGTAATCAACAATTTGCCACACATTAATCTAACAGTATCTGCTTTGTTCCTCTAAGTGCTAGGTTTTAGCTGGTAAATTGTAAAACTCCAAAATATATTTTAAATTTCTCAGAAAATTTTATTTTAAATAACTGTTAGTTACTTTAATTTATATATTTAATCCTATGTCTTCAGTGTTACCATATAATACGTTTGTGTCTTAAAGAAATGCATGAAGGGAAAATAAAGGCTAGGTAAACTGATCTTGTTCTGAGCTAATGAAAATCCAGCAGCTGAGGATACAGGACACCTGTGGGGATGCCTTTGTGATTAGCTAATAGGAGTTTTAAGGCTGGACCTTGCTCCTGGGTTAAGAACCCTGGCTGCCCTTCCAGAGATCCTGTATTCAGTTCCCAGCACCCACACGGTTGTAGGTGGCTCACAACCATCTGTGACTGTAGTCCCAGAGGACCCCAATGCCCTCTTCTGGTGTGCAGATACTCATGTAGATAACACATAAATGCATAAATAAATGAATCTTAAAACAGAGTTTCCACATGCATTATGCAAAGGAGCTTGGGTCATGCACTAAAATGAATGCTCTCATGTTCAGAATGATAAAGTACTTACAACGTATTTTTAATAGCACAGGGAAACGTCTATGGGAGATATTTAAATTATAAAGACTCTTAATTTATTATCACTATATGAAAAATTGCTCTAGTGAAATAGTGTGTGTCAACAGCAATCTGTTTTGTAAGCAACTTTGGTGAAATAGGATCATTTTGTTTTTCTTTTATTCTTAGTATGACTGTATTATTCTGTATGTACAATAGCTCAATAGCACAGTTACACACGAATTTATGATTCTGTATTAAATATCACCCCTTTGGGAAGGTTCTACTTGTCCTTGGCATGCATACTGCCTATAGGGCTACGCATGCTCACTGGTGTTAGATTCAATAGAACGTGCTCTATGTAATTTTTCTGTCTCAGGGATACTGTTCACAGGTTATAATGGATGTGATTGGAGTCAAGTAAAATTGGGAATTCTATAGGTTTAGGACTCATTTCAAATACTTTGCAGTAAAATAACATTCTAAAGTTTGAATTTCTCATGACTAAAGTTTCGTAAGTGTTTCAGACAAAATAAGCAAGTTTGGAATGATTTGTGGCTTTCACATCAGAGGCCAACTGCAAGGGACCTCACAGTAGCAGAAGTGACCATTGTGCTCCATCCAAAGGCTGTGGTCCCACACAATCTAATAGTCCACCCACTGGACAAGAGCACTTGCGGTCAGAGCAGACAGAGCCCAGAGTCTGAGCTGGCTTGACTGAGATATGGAATCTCTTCTTCTCCCACAGGAATGGAGGCTGGACTCCCTGGACCTCTTGGTCACCCTGCAGCACCACCTGTGGCATTGGCTTCCAGGTGCGGCAACGCTCCTGCAGCAACCCCACACCCAGGCATGGAGGCCGCGTGTGTGTGGGCCAGAACCGGGAGGAAAGGTAGGTGCCAGCTGGGCTCCTATGCCAGCATCTCCCTGCTTCCTGCCATCCCGGTATGGCCAGTTTCCCTTGGAGGTCTAGCTTGGTTTTTGTCTATGGAATTCCTCTTTTAAGCTAAACCGCACCTTATTTTTCTGACACCCTTCAATTTTGACCAAAGGTTCCCCACAAAGAGCCTCATTCTGGTCCCCTTTCCCTGCATGCTTGAACTGACTCAGGGAATCCATTCTCACGTCACTGGATGCTTAGGAACTAAGGGTATCTGTGTGCTGGCTGTCTGTGCACCCAGCATATGAGCCTACTGGAGGATAGTTGTTGAGATATTAGGTTAGCCCTGTCTCAACAGCTACCAATCTCTAGAGGTCCTGGTGATGAGGGCAGGTAAGATAAAGATGTCCCCATGAGACTGGGGTGCAGGCAGTGAGAACAAACGCAGGAGCAGATGTGTCTGTCTACCCTCTAGTCTGCGAACAAGCATCCCTCATGAGCCATGTGCCGTACCCTCTATAGTGGAAATTGCTTCCCAGGAAGACTTTGACTCTTCAGGACCCCATCAGGACATTTCACCATAGACGTGAATCCAACAAGCTGTTTTAATTGTTTGGTTATAGGACTAACCACTTTTCTTTGTCTGCAAAATCTACTCTTTGATCTTTTCTCTCCCTTGCCTACTGAATGCATATTCCATTCTGTCACTGTTGGGAGGGAAAACTTGCAGTTGAAGTTCATGTTACTTTTAGTATATCACAACATGCACACATGTGTGTACCCCCTCCCCCCCCACACACACCATCCTATTGAATGGCTCCCAGTGCCTTTTAATAAAAAGATGTAAGCTCCTACTCAGTGTCATGGGTTCAGGGAGTCTCATAAAAATTCCTTATCTCTCTGTGGCCATGGACTTTTGGGAACAGAAACAGGCTCACTTTTCTTTTATGTAGGTGTTGGATACATTTTGAAAACAACAAATAAGACCATTTTGCTTCTTTGTTCATCAAGTTTCTTACTTACTAATTAAGATTTCATTCCTTTTGACTAAGAATTAGAGGGAGGTACCGCCACACATGTCAGGATTTGTCACTTTTGAAATGGTCCACTGAGACAGTCTTGATAGGGTTGTAGTGTTCCATCTAACACCAGTTGATAGGTGAGAAAGCTGAATACAGAAACATCTTCTTATTACTTGCATGATTTTAAACTAGCTGGAAGGTTTCAACACTGTGAATCATCACACTATGTGTCCCATTCAGATAAAATCGCATCTGTCTGTGCAAACACTTCCCTGGTGTCCATGCACCGCACAGACACCATCTTCTTCCCCAGGCTGAAAAGACAGGAAGGCCAAGGCTGTATAATTCTGTGGCTACATGTGCCGTCTTCTGTCCCTCCACTTGACTTCAGAAAGCCTTACTTTCAGAAAAGAGTTTAAAAACAATGCTAGACTGTTTGGCTGTCTCACACCTAACATGTTCTGCATTTACAGGAGACATGTTTTGGGGCATTAGATAAGGGATTGCTTACTAGAGGAAATTTTTTACTTCAAATAATAAAGAGATGGAATGTAAGACTGTGGACTGTGTATTGTTATTATAAATGGATGCCTCTCTTAAGTATGCTTTCCAGAGGGCAACAGGAATTTCAGAAAAGCCAAATACTTGATGTGCCTTGGTCTCTGTTAACCAAACAGTTCTTAAATGTATTGCCATGTTACATGGGGAGATCACCACATCAGGAAAACTCATCCAGATCCTGGTGGTGGAGATATCTGATGATGGATTAAGAGAGAGGGGGGTACAGGATTCTAGGATCAAGCAAATGAAATAATCACTACTTTTTATGATATTTAAATAGCACTAAACTCTCTCCAAAAATTCAGTGAATGTTGTCAACATAGCTAATAATTTATGCAAAAAAGTTTTCAATGTGTGGCTTAATCCAATGGGAGATTTTACCCCCAAGTAAAATTTCCTTGGATTTTCACAACTTCTTTTTTCACATGTGCTATAGAATATATGAATGCTCTTTGTACTTCTAATACTTCTTCGGAATGAATTTCTTGAGAGCCTACTTGAGGAACCAATTCTCCAAAAGTCACCAATAAGACAGTATACGGCAAACATTGCTGCAAGTATCAAAATCCGGTTGAGTTAGTTTCTACTGCTTTGTCACTATGGCGCCTTTGACCCAAATGTAAACAATGTGCAATTGCTGTCCCACCCTGTCAGAGGGACCTCATGTCAAGGCTTCCAAGTTGTCAGTCAGATACTGCCCCAAGCCCTTCACAAGTGAGCCTTCTTAGCGTGACCTCTAACTCATTACAAACTGAACTTATGAACTAATTGCTATGTTCACAAGACACAACCTCATCTGGCCATAGTGGCTTAGTAACAAGGAAATCTTGGGCCCTGCCCACACTGCAGAGAAAGGGATTGTGGCATGACAGGGTAGGTTTCACTGGTGTCTTGTTAGATTCTGTTGCTCACAGACAGTTCTCTATCCTCACGTAGCTTGAACCCTTCCATCTGTAGAATGCTGCTCATCTGTTTGCAGGGTTCCCAATGCCACATCCCATTCAATTGTACCCCAAAAGCTCAAAGTGCTGCCACCTAAGTCAGGTGTGTCTGAGGCCCTGTTGCAGTAGCGCTTCTTGGTCTATCATCTCCACTCAAAAGTAATATCACTGTTGGGTATATATCCAAAGGATGCTCAATCATGCCACAAGGACATGGGACATGTGCTCACCTATGTTCATAGCAACATTGTTTGTCATAGCCAGAACCTGGAAACAACCTAAATGCCCCTCGACCGAAGAATGGATAAGGAAAATGTGGTACATTTACACAATGGAGTTCTACACAGAAAAAAAAAATGACATCTTGAATTTTGCAGGAAAATGGATAGAGCTAGAAAACATCATTTTGAGTGAGGTAACCCAGACCCAGAAATACAATTATCACATGTACTCACTCATAGGTGGTTTTTAAACATAAAGCAAAGAAAACCAGCTCTCAAATCACAGTACCAGAGAACCTAGACAACAATGAGGACCCTGAGAGAGACAAGCATGGATCTAATGTACATGGGAAGTAGAAAAAGGCAAGATCTCCTGAGTAAATTGGGAGCTTGAGGACGCTGGGGGAGGGATGAAGAGGGGAGGAGAGGCAGGGAGGGGAGCGGAGAAAATGTAGAGCTCAAAAACAAAAAAAGACAAGTTACCTCTCGGCAACATTCACACTATACAGCAGAGGGGTGGGCAACAGATGACAGCTGTGCACATTTCCTTTTCAAAAATAATAGTAGAAATGGGAGTCACTAAATTTTCTTCCGCAGGACCCCTGCAGTGTTGCCAGGTGACGGTTGGGAGATGCTTGTGATAAAGGCATCCTGTGCCATGGACCTCGGCCCAGCCTTGTGAGCTCTTAGCTCAGTTCCTTTTGCCAGAAAGGCAGCAGATGTTTGCAGCTGGTGAAACTTGCGTCAGCCTTTTTCTATCAATAGAATTTGGGCTACTCAATAACATTTGTTATTAGCTCCCATGTTTCTTTCCATCTAAGTTGCTGAAGTTACTCTTTTTTTTTTTTTTTTTTTTTTTTTTTTGTTTTTGTTTTTCGAGACAGGTTTCTCTGTGGTTTTGGAGCCTGTCCTGGACCTAGCTCTGTAGACCAGGCTGGTCTCGAACTCACAGAGATCCGCCTGCCTCTGCCTCCCGAGTGCTGGGATTAAAGGCATGCGCCACCACCGCCCGGCTGAAGTTACTCTTTCTTTTTTTTTTTTAATTTATTTATTTATTAAGGATTTCTGCCTCGTCCCCACAACCGCTTCCCATTTCCCTCCCCCGATCAAGTCCCCCTCCCTCATCTGCTCGAAGAGCAATCAGGGTTCCCTGACCTGTGGGAAGCCCAAGGACTGCCCACCTCTATCCAGGTCTCGTAACTCTTGAAAAGCTTTAAAAGATTTATGTAAACCTCTTTGGGGTTTCGCTACCGAACCAAAGGCACAGCTCCAGATCTTTTCCATCCAGCCTTCCGCTGCCTCACAGTCCTGCTGGGATGATAACACAACAGCTGGCAGCTTGCTAGGCTTCCTCAGGGTGACGAGGAGGGTCCCTGAGGCACCCCCTTGCTCTTGCGCTCTCATGGACTCTATGCATGCTCACAGTCTGCCCCTATTCTTCAAGCTTTCTGAGCTTTACTCAAGAGGTTAAGCAGGCACGCCCCAGCTTTCCCTGGCAGCAGATCGTGCTTTACATAAGGATGGCCGCTGTGAACTCATATATCTGAATGCTTAACCACTGTGGAGTGGAACTCTTTGGAAGGATTAGCAGGATTAGGAGGTGTGGCCTTGGTGGAGTAGGTGTGGCCTTGGTGGAGTAGGTGTGGCCTTGGTGGAGTAGGTGTGGCCTTGGTGGAGTAGGTGTGGCCTTGGTGGAGTAGGTGTGGCCTTGTTGTAGGAAGTCGATCACTGGGGATGAGCTTTGAGATTTTAAAAGCCCAAGTCAATCAAGTGCCCTGGAGGGAAATGGGAGGTGGCGGCGGGAAAAGAGACAGAAATCTTAAATAAATAAATAAATAAACAAACAAACAAACAATAAAAGCCCAAGTCAGGCATAGTCAGTCTGTCTCTTCCTCTCCCTTTCCCTCCCCCCTCACTCCCTGCTTATGGATCAGGATGTAGGTTTAGGCTACAACTCCAGTGCCTGCCTGCATGCTGCCATGATGATGATGGACTAAGCTTTCTGAAGCTGTAAGCCAGTTCTCATTCAGTGCCTCCTTCTTCAATCGCCGTTGTCATGGTCTCTCTTCACGACAACAGAACAGTGACTAAGACATAGTACTTGAATGCTTGGGAGTTATTTCTTAATTTTAGAAGATTTTTTTTCCTTTGCTATCAGCAAAGTCTAATCCAGATACCAGTTGGCCCTTGTTCTTTTCATGGTCCACCCTTGTGTTTTCTCTTTCTGTCCTGTGAGCTGCAAGAATGGGGAGGGCCTTGGTCCTGCC